ATACAGACCAAAACGTGGACCCGGGTAACCTTAGGATGTATTTGTTTAATATGGGTATCAAATTAAAGCTGTTCATGAATGCTTTAAGATAGAGCACTTTTCATATATCTGGGTGACTTGGGTCTCGAGATATAGACCAAAACGTGGACCTGGGTAACCTTGGGTGTATTTGTTCAATATGGGTATCAAATGAAAGCCGTTCATGAATGCTTTAAGATTGAGCACTTTTCATATAGCTGGGTGACTAGGGTCTCGAGATATAGACCAAAACGTGGACCTGGGTAACCTTGGGTGTATTTGTTCAATATGGGTATCAAATGAAAGCTGTACATGAATGCTTTAAGATTGAGCACTTTTCATATAGCTGGGTGACTAGGGTCTTGAGATACAGACCAAAACGTGGACCCGGGTAACCTTAGGATGTATTTGTTTAATATGGGTATCAAATTAAAGCTGTTCATGAATGCTTTAAGATAGAGCACTTTTCAAATAGCTGGGTGACTAGGGTCTCGAGATATAGACCAAAACGTGGACCTGGGTAACCTTGGGTGTATTTGTTCAATACGGGTATCAAATGAAAGCTGTTCATGAATGCTTTAAGATTGAGCACTTTTCATATAGCTGGGTGACTAGGGTCTCGAGATACAGACCAAAACGTGGACCCGGGTAAACTTAGGCTGTATTTGTTTAATATGGGCATAAAATGAAAGCTGTCAAAAATATGCGGAAGCAAATAAAAAAAAAAATTAAAAAATTCATGAATACCGTTTTTGTGAAAAATAAAATTGTGTAATGCGGACAGTTCTTTAATCTTCTTTAATATAAAAATTAATATAAAAATAAGTAGGGTTTTCCTTCCTGACGCTATAACTCCAGAACGCACGAACCGATTTCCACGGTTTTGCATTCGTTGGAGGTTTATAGCTAAGAAAATTCAGGAAAAATTTCAATAGAAAAGTATATGGTGTGTGAGTATCCCTCACGAAAATAAGTATGTTTCATTTAAAGTACACTGACGGAAAAAAATATTAAAATTAAATAGAAACGTAATGGATCCTACTATTAACGTCAACGAAAGTACTGTATATTGGTAAATATTCAATTCAATTACGCGCATATTGAAATGACCGCGTTCGTACTGAAAAAGCATCCGTGAAGTGAATAATCAAGAAAAAAACTAAAAAAAAAAATTTATTTGCATGTCGCCTGCAGTGGAATTCGAACCCGACCATCTCCGGATATCAACAACTTGTCGCAAGCATCTTAGCGCACTCAGCTACACCGAGACATATAAATTTGCTTTCAAATGTTGAATATCCATCAACACCACAGCACGTGATTTGTACGGATAACCATCTATGTACTATGTATGTATGTGTGTGTTGTCACCGCTCTCAGAGCGGCGCTCTGCATGTTTGGGGTGCGTATATACACTTACATATACATACTCAGATGTGAACAGTCAAATACGTGCGTAACTAATTTTGTATGAAAATATTATTTTTAAATACGAACATTTTTAAACGATAATCAAATATAAAGTATTAATTTTTACTATGCATTATTTCCCTCAGTGTAGATGGTGCCGGTGCGTGAAACATTGTTTAACAGCTATTCATTGTACTTTGCTCAGTTAATTTCATGTGACACTAGCGAATACCCGGCGTGCTTCGCTGCGCCTTAAAAGTAATTTTGTTTTGTTACTCCCTCTCACAACATTTGAAAATATTAGTTAATATTGCTGTACATATTTGTATAGTAGGGAGATTTTTTCAAATTATATAAATATACGTTATTTGAATATTGAATCAATACACGTTTGAGGAAAGGGTGCGATAGTAGACTCCAGTTATAAGATTATAAATTAAATTTCCAAGAGAAAGTCCGTTCTTTACATATTTTCTAATTACCTTCGAAAATATATTAACTCAAAAAAAAAAAAATAAACAATGCTTCATAGATCGATTTTTTTTAAATCTAACTTCATAAAGTTCTTTAAAAATATTTTGTAAATGAGGCCATAAGAGCTTAGGGGGAGAGTTACAACACAAAAATACATTTAAGGCGCAGCGAAGCACGCCGGGTAATTGCTAGTTTTATTATATTTTATTAAAAAAACCAACAGGGCATTCGTAATTCAGCACTATCGTAAAGTTATATATCTCGTGTATTTTATTAACTGTGTAAGCGTAACTTAAACAAACTGACTCACAGTGTGGCTTTAGACTTCGTAGATCCATTATATATCATGTATTTCACAAGCACAAAATCTTGTAAAATACCGGCGAAGACTGGATCTACACCCAACAATTTGCCGAAGACAAAGCCGATTTCGAAGGCACAAAAAAGTGTCCCATACACGCATGAAGGTAAGAGGACGTCTGAAAGCCGTTCAATACTAAACGAGGATTTAGACAAATCGACCGCCTATCATGTAATTTTATTTTACTTGAAGTTGGAGAATATGAAAAAACGTGCAGAACTGAAAGTATAACTCTTTATAAGAGAGTGAACGAGGAAAAGATGAAGTAACACCCGTCATCAAGCCGGCACATACCGCATACGTGGAAATAGTGGAGCGAATTAAAATACAGCGGCCTCGCTGACATCACAATGTCATAATGGACAAAAACGCTTGAGCACTGAAAGGATTCAACGCGTTACCATCTGTAATGGTAAGGTCTGATGAAAAAGGACTTGGATTCCTTTGGAATTTATAAATGGAGACAGTTGGTTCGCAAAGGAAACACTTTATTGCACTCTGCTAAATATGCATAGGTGGTTACATACAACTATTTTTTTGATAAACTGTATGTATGTATATATATTATTTACCTTATATCCTTTTAGATTATCAACCACACATGCCAGCAGTGCATCTCGACCCACAGACACCGTCACATTGTTGATCGGCTCAGGGAATCCCGGCGCACTGGAACCTGGAAAAAAAGTTATGTATCTTACTTATGTTAGCAATAAAGCTTTAAAAAATATCCTTATAAAAATTATTTCTGCTACGCCAAGGCCGTCCATCCTCATTTTTTGTGCAGATCATCTTTTTTGCGGTAGTCTAATACGATTTTCTCACAATTGCGATCGTGAATTACCCCATTCGCACAGGCACATTCTTAATTCGATGTGACAGTTCTCTATCTCGGTGTTTTGTTTTTGTTTTTCTTCGCTGCAAATGTAGGTTCTTCCTAAAAATTTATAAGTCTCCGTATGAAATTAGGGACACATTGATAAACTTCACTTTTCGTACTCAGAAAAAATGCAAGTTTTGATTTGTGAGCTAGTTTCGATAAATTTCCGATAAAAAATAGAGACGGCACCGAATTGTTCGTAATTCTTATGGTAATTGGATCTGAATTACCAACAAATGAGGTAATTCGCTCTCAAAATTTTGTATGGCGAATTACGTAATTCGAAGGGTAATTTGAGTGCAAATTACGAATGGAAGAGCGAACTACGTAATTGGGGTGCCGTGGGAAAGCCATATAAGGCCGAAGAATAAATTAAACTCAAGAAACTTCAGGTAGTTCGGGCTCAGAATAGATCTTCCACCACCCACATTCCAGCGAGAAAGCCCTGGGCGCCTGCCTGTAATCAGGATCCTGTAAGCTTATTTGCAGATGGATCGAAGCTGAATGGGATGTTAAGTGAAGGTGTCTTCTGCGAAGAACTCTCCATCCGCCGGAAAATTAGGCTAGCGGATCACTGCAGCGTCTTCCAAGCAGATATAACCGCAATAAAACAGCCTTCGGACTGAATGCTCCCTAGTGTAACACCTTTTAAGGAGGTTAATATTTATTCCGACAGACAAGCAGCTTTCAAGGTTCTTGGCTTCATGACGGTGCATTCGAGAAGGATGAAAGAGTGTCTGAATTCCTTATCGACCGCATCGGATTACTTCGCTATGCTCAGTGAGCTCTGGGCGAAGACCTTGAAATACAAGGTCGAAAAATCCTTCTGGCCACGTATGGACCGGGAGCGGTCTTGAGACTAAGCAAGTTACATCTTTCGCTATTGATGGATAGGAAAGCATGCTATAGGGCTGAATATCATCGGTGACCCTTACTGCACCAGCTGCATGGAGGATGATGAGGTGAAATCATTTCAAAACCTTCTGCTGTGGTGTCCTGCCTTTGTCAGCCTAAGGTTTAAGCACCTTGGGTCGAATTTTTTTCGCATTCCCGACGAGCTTTCGAAAATGGACATCAGTCGCCTGAAGAGTTTCGTTGCGAGCACGGATCGTTTCTCTTACAAGAAGCCATAGGCTTCGTCATTCTCCCTTACCGCCTATTTCTTTATCCTTCGTCTCACCATCCAGACTCCCTGCGTCCTTATCTTTCTCCTCTCTTAAGGACATCGGACAGCTTTGTCGTGTCTAAGTAGGCCTCCATGTACGGAGCTAGCATGCTACCTAACCTAGCCTAACTGACAGTCTGGACTATACGAGGTACTAACTACCAAATTATTAAACATTTATGCTATGACTTCACCAAGGGTTTCTTTTTGATTCCAAAAGCACAAACATATGGTGTAAAGTCGAAATTACTAATTTTACTTTAAAACAAAGTCGTAAAATTTTTCTATCCTAAGTATGTATATCAGCCGTATTTGTAAGCTGCTCGATGTCAATCAACTCCTTCATTCCCTGCACTGCATTCCGACATCTAAACTTTGTTGTTCGAAAATTCCCTACACTTAGCTACATCTTCGCCATCAAATGCGATGCACGAAAGGGAGAACTTTCCAAAGAGCAGTAATTGCGGAGAAATGTTTGTCAACTGGCTGATTTTACGATTACAACATTGCACTGGTAAAGTTCTGTTGCAAAACATTTAATGCGACAAAGTTGCAATTATACGCGCATTTTCAATTAAACCGGAAAATGTCCAGCGCTGACAGGCGGAGAAAAATTATGTATGTATGTTTGAATACGACGAAGGCAGCGCCTACCGCCTAGAAGAATACTTTTATTCTCCATGATGGGGGTTGGTACGCCAGCGCTGTTTGTATAACCCGCATAAATCCTTGCCTCTACGAAATTCTTCAGCCTTTGCTAATTTTTTGCTAGAATTTTCCCATTATTTTGTCAACGGCTTTTGTGTCTTTTGCTATCGTTCTCTCTCTTCGAGCGCAATTTTTCTACCAAATAGAATTTCACTTTGCCTTTGTCGTATATTTGTCCATAGCAAATAGAATCTGTTCAGCCCTTTTGTGTCTAAGATGCGAATCAATGTTCGTGAGTACGAATTACATTGCTCAGTACACCATTACCTAATGGAAGAAAATAAGTTTTATCTTCTTATTCTACTTTTAATTACCACTTTCGTCGATTTTCTGCGCTTCCTGCACCCGCGTGTGTTTGCCTGGAAAGAGAGAGAGTGAAGTGGAATAAATAAATAAATTTTTACTGCAGTTTTTGAACTGAGATAGAAAAACTGAGGACAGTAGTAGTAGATAATGCAATAGTTCGTAAAACTTGGTTCAAAAAGTAATAAAAAACGATGTATGTGGGTATGTAATGTGTATGCGTGTACTTATGTAGAAAGTCCATATAGCCAAAGTACAGCTAATTTCGTCGATCGTTAAAATGTTAAAAGTAAATAGAAAATGTACAGCGTAAAGGAAAAGGAGCACCAATGCATTTCATTGCCCTATAGTACGATTGTTATTGCAAATAATGCAGACAAAAGACACGCTATTGCGACACTAAAATATTTTGGCTGTGTGGCTCTCCCGATTTTGAATAATTTCCCCAAGCCGTTCGAGGCAAAGCGAGATTGTCGAAGTACTGACCGCTTTCGTGCGACATCTTCATACATACAACATTGTTCGCTCTGAACCCAGGTGACCGTTGTGATACCCTTTGGTATCTATGTAAACCGTTCTCTTAAACAAATTCATATTTCTTTTATTTAGAAAGCATTCATAATCGCAGATCTTAAGCGAGCTTAAGGGAACGTTAGCAATGACAGCCTGAAGTTAAAAGCGCCTTTCTTTAAATGTGCTTCTTTGTACGATATCAGCTTGGAATACAATAACGCAAATTTGTGTTATATCCCAATTGAATGTTAAATAACACAAATTTGCTTTATTTCATTTCTCGTTGAGCAATAAGACCAACTTTTATACTTAACAATTGAGTAATAAAGCAATACAGTGCACATATGTAGGTAGTCACCCAGTTTCACTTGACAAAAAGAGGTACAATGGACGGATTTTTAAGTATACAATTTTGAAAGGGCCCAGCGTCGCGGCGGTTCGCGTTCACGCGCCGCCCCGCGCCACCCTGCGCCTTGTCGCGTTCGTCATCGGGCTCGCGTTCCCCGCCCCTTCCCCTCCTTTCGCAGTTTTGCATTGGCCGCGTTAAGAAAAAAGAAAAATAATAAAATAAAAAATTGTTACACCAACGTATTGTACTTGTTATAATTTTTATTTACATACATATGTGCCTAATTGTTTGTTTTTTATGTTTTGTTTTCAGTAAACACAAGACTCCCTGAGGAAGATGTGAAAAACATCGAAACGCGTAGGAGGAAAAAGAAACATTGTTTGCTTTTTATTAAACCGGCCGATAAGCTCCTTAAACTACCCTATAGGAAATTGAAAGTTGGCCCTAGAAACATAATGATAAAAAATTTAAATTGAAAAAATGAAAATTGTTGCAACTTTCTTTCTTAGTAAATTGGTTTGCTTCTCGAAGCATTCATCCGTCCTGTGCCAGGCCCAGTAATCAGCGGTTGTGCTGCTGATTTGGGCCAGCGTTCCAAAAGCTGCTATTCAATCGATGGTTTTGTATGGAAAAAGGTTTCACATGCAAATAGATTTTAAAAATTTAGAATATTTGGGAGAAGAAATTAAAAATATTTGACATTTTTGAGAACAAATAATTCGAAAAGAATCAAATCAGCTGCTGTACTGATGCCACCTGTTCAATGTGCCTTGGTTTAATTGTTTTTTTTTTTTGGAATAAACAAAGTTCTGTTTCCTTCTGTCGGTAAACTGTTGTTGTACAAATAGTATAAACAAGCAATAGGAAATGAGGCAAAATTGGTTTTATTTCCAACCTTTATTGGAAATAAAGCAAAACTCAGATATTGTTATTATTTTCCATTTAGAAGTGAAATAAAACAAATGTTGGGTTATTGCCGTTTGTGTTATATATATATTGTGTTTCAACTGAGATAGAGCATTTTTGAACCGGCTTCTCATATAGGGCGTTCTTGAAAAGTTTTATGAGATAGGGCGTTTTCGACCTGGCGACCGAGATAGGTCGATCTTCCACTCAGGTGACGATATGACGTAATCAAAAATCCTGCCAACTGATAGATCGGTTATATAACTAGAGAATTAATATGAGTCAAACCACGCCAACTGTGTCAATGAATTTTCATTGATTTTCTGGAAAGTGAAGACAATTATGGGAATCTGTAGATAATTATAGAATAAAAATACACTTTGGACGGTTTTTCGAAATTGCACTTCGTTTTTGTTTTTTTTTTTGGTATTATAAGAATATTGCCGTAAATTGCGATAACGTGAACATGCTTTATAAAATATTTTTTCTGTTCAAAATCGCTAGTATGGAAACCCCGAAAATGACGTTGTTTGAAAAACTTATGTTACCTTTTTCTTTACGTAGTTAATTTAATCTTATTTGACAAGTTGACCCCAGTCAGAATGAAAAGTGAAGATCTTCGGGGTCGTTTGCAGATTCCCAAGCCATTTATGGATGATCCCTCTATCCATCTCACAGACATCAGACTACCAAAATAATGCTTCTACAGGCCTAACAAGGTCAGAATTCCTTAAGGTACTACTGTGAAGTGATAATATCTATGACAAAGGGTCCCAAGTATGGTATGCCGACGGATCGAAGTTGGACGACCTAGGAGCCCACAATATATAGATTAACACTGTGGTGGGTCCCCCGACATGAAGGCAACGAAAGGACAGACATGTAGCCCAAATCAGCATGCATGGTCCGACTCTTTCTGCGATATATCTAAATGATACACTGCAGAGCTAATCAGGAGCTGGGAAGAATCTCAGATTGCTGCCCACTGGCGGAAGTCAAAGGGAATGAGACAATCAAAGAGATTCATAACTCCTTCCATGGGGAGCTTCGAAAGACTCCTTGAACTTAGCCGCGAGGGACTCTTACTGGCTACCTGAAAGGACACTGCAAGTTAGGATACCTCTTTAATAAAATGGGGCTTTCGGTAGACACGGACTGTAGGTTTCATGGGCTGCCGGATGAAACCCCAGAGCACGTTCTTTGTGCCTGCCCAAGCATAATGAATCAAACACTGATACACCTGGGGAAAAGATTATCTTCACCATCTAAAATTTGGAACATGAGAACCTCCAATGTGCCCAATTTCTTAAAAAGCCAAAGGTGGAGTAATTACAATGAGGGTGTAGTAGTCGCAGCGCGAGTATACCCGACGTAACAATAATAATCTGTTCTTATTGACGATTAAATTAAACTGGGACTGTCTCTTTGTGATTTAAGCTAAGCTCAAATCTTAGAAATTCTGAGAAATCTGATAGTCCAGAGAAAGAAGTATTAAGATATTTCGCTTACGTTAGTCGGTTGTAGTTCGTTCTAGTCGGAAGGTAAAGTTTATAGTTTTAAAGTCTGCTGAATGTTGCAGTTTTGAATTTGAGTGAAATCGGACTGTAATTACGGTTTTTAGATATAAATGAACACCAACGCCACCTACTGAAAGTTCGTTTTGCGCTCGTACAATAGGTTCAGTATTTTTTGCGTTATAAACGGCATACCAACCAACAAACATGGCCTTCTTATGTACGAGCATAAGATTTTTTTATTTTTTCTTTTTGAAAGAAGAACAAATATCCTACACTTAAATATTTTTGTGTGTGTTTGTATACATCTTTTAGTTACAGTGTATTAAAGTCTTTTAAATAAACGACGCTCAATAATTTTCAAAGAAGAAAGACTAAAAAAAACACACAAAAATGTCAAGTACTAAACACAGCGGGGTCGCCTGCTGTTCTCTATTAAATAAGTAAAATTCCAAAAAATGCCGACTCACACGGAACTCGGGTAACTTCAGCAGTAAGCGAACAACCAAGACGTATGTACGTGTGTACTAGGAATGTTAATCCCGGGATACCGGACTTTTTAAGGTCTTGAAAATCCCGGGATTATTGGCAAGTAATCCCGGGATTTTCGGGATTTGTAATTTGCACTGATGGCAATAATAGAAACTCCTTTTCTTGAGCAGTATTGGCTATATTTCTTTTTTTATTTTATGTTAATATTTTTTTATAAATATAGTAAAATTGCGTTTTTAGATTTTCACTCTGACGTCAGTAATGCAAAAATGATTTAAAAAATTCAGAGAAATGTGCTTAGAGAAGAAGTATGGGTATAAAATGAATGAGAAAATCCTGTAGAATTTAAACAGATACAAATTTCTGGTGCAGAAGGGCTAGTAAATATTGAAAATGTCATTATAAAATTTTATCCTTGAAATTTCGCAGTATTTATTTTTGAAAAAATTATATGTTAAGGGCTTATATACAGCGGTCGTCCCTCGGCAGGCAATGGCAAACCTCCGAGTGTATTTCTGCTATGAAAAACAGCTTCTCATAAAAATACAATCGCCGTTCGGAGTCAGCATAAAACTGTAGGTCCCTCCGCTTTGTGTGCAAACATCAAGGCGCACGCCACAAATCGGAGGAGAAGCTCTGCCAAACACTAACATATGTGTAAGCGCCAATCTATTATTACTATTATATTATTATTATATTATAAGGGCTTATTTATATAAACTCGATAACATCCTCGAATTTCGTTCTTTTAACTTTTTCGTTCTTGTGAATCCAAAAATTTAAATTTTTAAATTATAAAGAAATTTCCTATTGCATTTGTTACCCATATATTTATTCTACATTGTTTTGAATTTTTTAATAATTTTTGGAATTAAATATATCTTTGAAATTACAAAGTCCTTCAAAATAAATCCTGCGGTCAGAGAGAAAAAATAAAAACGCCACTTTAAAAAAAAAGTAGGTTTCAAACCCATTTATCGATTATTTATTTCATGGTAGGAGAGCTTCTCAAACAATATAGAAGCAATTTTTTCGATTCAAGTTGTTGAAAATTAATGAATATCTAAATCCCGGAACTAATCCTGGGATCCCGGGATTGTGACAACGGCATCCCAAAAATCCCGGGATCGGAAAAAGCCGAAAAATTAACATCCCTAGTATTTACCTACAAACTAACATAAAAACATATATATATCTACTTGCTTGCAACAGCTGTCGCCATGATAGAACGCCTGAGAAATATTACAGCTACAAAGGAGCCGACGACGGTTACAGAATTTGC